GATTCTTCGGTTGCAGAGTTACGTCAAATTTCACGTGTCCATAAGTGAGCAACAACGTGATTGCTTTCTTCGCCTGCGGTTGCTCAAACATGGTCCTAGATAATGCTCAGAAAGTTTCAACACTCTAGCTGCTCCGGTTGTGGAGTTGCGTCAAATCTTATGTCTGCGTACGTGAAGCATGAAGAGATGTATAAGTCGTTTTTGCGTCCATCTGGTTAAAAGACTGCCGTTGGCTATACTCAGAAAGTGCCAGTCCTCTGGCTGCTTCAATTATGAAACTACAAAAGCGCATGCGTGAAACTTTCACGTGTTCGTACGTGAAATGCAGATGGGCTGAACAACTCAATTTACTTTCACAGGCACAAAAGTGGGCGACAAGTAAAGCTACAAAATTGCAGCTCTGTACAGCTTATTGGTCAGCTTAAATCTGGAGTTGGCTTGGTGCCAGTTTAGAATTTGATCTGTGCGTTTTGACGTGAGATCTAGGGGTGTGTGAAGGCTGAATTTGAAATCTTTGGATTGGACGCGGCCAAGGAACATCTCTGTGAAGTTTCAGCCTCCTAGCTTTCGCCCTTCCCAAAAATGCATTCCCGCGAAAAAAGATTTTCACGTTCCTCTACGCGAGAACCACGTGGACCTGAGCGTCCATTTCGAGGATACGACGTTACCAAATTTTTATTCTTGTAGCTTTTGTGGATCTCGAGATGAAAACTCGTTACAGGCACACACACACACACACACACACACGCACAGACAGCCCCTCGACAGTATGCGTTTTTGTGTTGCATAGCTGCAAAAAACGCATAAAAACTGCTGATAGTGCAATCATTGTTGCCCTGTTGGCTGACATAACGCAGTGGCAAGTGTCGCTGCTCTTGCTGAAGAGGGACCGGGGAAAATTAGTCTTTGTATAATTATTGTTTATTCGTTTCGATTATAAATTAGTAGTTCAGCTTGTCGACAGATTAAAACCTCCAAAAGCTTGCTTACAAATAACACTCTGAACACGGCAGCCATCAGCAGCGCGAGTGCGTGACTGTGTTTGACACGTGCCTGTTCCTGTCCCTCATGAAATATGAATATGGAAGGATTTAGATTCTTGCTTAAAAATTTGTGGGTTTTTTTAAGCCAGGATATTGATAGGCTTATCAAAAAACAAAAACGTCTGAACCCACCTGCTACGTTACTAGTTGCGAATTTTTTCAA